GCGCAAAAATCCTAAATATAAAGACACTCTCACTTCGACTCCGGCCCCCCCCCCCCCCCCCCAAAAAAAAACCCCCTCAACCATGCCAACAAAATCCCTCCTCCTCACAACCCTCCTCGCAACCATCACACTCCACGCCACAGCCACACCGTGGCAAATTCCACCAGGCATAGTATCAAATCCATTCGGCGACTGGGCATGGCGGTGTTCCCAGATCCCATGTAACAACGATTCAGAATGTCACGCCGCCCGGTCAAGTTGGGGTGCTTATAATTGTGTAAGTAAACCAATTGGGGGGAGTTGTTGGAATTTCACACAAATCGCGCCGCTGTATTTCCCATTTCTTTTTGTTTTCCTTTCCATACACTTTCCCTCACGAAAAATCTCTCCTCATTTTCAATATCTGACATGAAACAGCAAAACTGGCAATGCCAATACTGGTCCAACTACAACCCGTGGCGCCAAGGTACTTGTTGAAACAAATGGAGTACCTGAATACATACACGTCCCCGGATTGCGTTCATGGAACCCGTAGTGGAATAGTCAATAAGTCACCACCCACTCAATAGACTTGTGGTTCCTTCTCAAAAATTTTGCGTTTCAATAAATGCTTCGCAAAAGGCTTTGTTTACAAACATGTATCCATCCTGAGATAGTGTTGTTTTCAATGTAAAATGAAGGGTCGCGGTCGATGAAAACTTACACTGCACTCAACACCTCAAACACAATGTTTAAACACCACCTGTCTTATTTTACTCAATCAACAGCTGCGCCTCAAATAATATCAACCCACCCCTCCCTTACAACCCCACCCTCCTCCCCATCCCTCAACCTCATAACCAATTCCACAATCGCCCCCCTCATCCCCTCCGAAACAACCACCCTCCCACCCCTCCTCCCTCCTCCCTCACAAGTCGTACACTGCAAAATCCTCAAAACCCGCTTCATAATCTGCCTCGCAATCGCATCCTCTCCCTCCCCATCCAAAACCTCACTCAAAATCAAAACAACCTCCTCTTCAACAGACTTCCATCCCGAATCATCAATTTCAACCACCCCGTCTTGATCGCTACAAATACCCCCCCAAACAACAGAACAAACACCACCAACCCCCAACCCCCACGCATCCTCCAACGCTTCTCGCCTCACTCCTCCCGCAGTCCCGCCCCCACAAAGCACAAGCAAAACATCCAACATCCTCACAACCAACTTCTTCCCCTCCTCATCCCCCCTCCCTCCGCATAAAACCGAAACAGCACCCAAAACACCCATAACACCCTCCCTCCCCACACCCGTCCCAACAACCTCCCTAACAACCCGCACCAAAACACCTTCCAAATCCGCTACGCCATACGCCGTGATAAGGTTATCTCCTACCCATTTCCACCCTTCCGCCCGGCCATCGTCCGCAGCACCACCAATACCAGCAACCTCAACCATCCTCCCAACAACCCACAACGCATTCGGCGTCCATTCTGAGTTTGAGAGAGTGTTGTAGACGTTACGTGGGAGGGAGGAAAGGAGGGAGAGGGTTGTTGTTTGGGAGGTGGTGATGAGTGTTGTTAGGGTGCGGAGGATGTGGGGTGCGGTTGTGGGTGCGAGGGATGTGTAGGCTGTTAGGATGTCGTTCAAGAGCGTTTCGCGGAGTGTGGTGGTTGTTGTTGGGAGTTCGGTGGGTGTGCCAGCTGGGGTGATGAAGTGCGGCAGTAGGGTATTTAGGAAGCGTCGCTGTGCATGTGTAGAAAGAAGAATTTAGTCGATTTTTCAGGAGTCTTCAAAACCCGCATCGAAGGTTGGGAAAGAAGAATCATGCCAAAAGAATGTTGTAAGTGCGTGTCACTGCTGAACATACCTGAACACCCTCCCCACCCCCACCAAAACACCACTCCACCAACCCTCCAAATACTTCCACAACTTTACTCCCAGCAATCGCCACTCCCCCCTCCCCGTCTCCACCCTTCCCGACACCCCCCAACACCAACAACTTCCCCACTCCCTCCTCCCCAACCACCAAATCAACCAACCAGTCCGGCACAGTAGCACTATCAACAGAAGATAACACCGACACAAAGTAATCTGTGAGGGACTTTGAGGATGTCGCTGAAGCTTGTTGGGATGCGAGGCGGAAGAGGAGGGAGTGCAGTGTTGGTGAGGGAAGGGATGTTATGTGGGTTATGTGGGAGGACCAGTCGACAGGTGGGAGGGGGTGCGCCGCTCTGAGGAGCGATGTGAGGAGGATTGTGGCTGTGTGTGATTTTTTGCCAAAAGCCCAAAACAGGTTAGTAAGTCCAAATGGCATGCCTTCTCACCTTAACACACCAGAAAAGAAAGCCGCAAAACCGACAACCCCCAAAGAAAAAAAAACACAAAAACTCACCAACATCGACCGAAGCCCCACCAACACCCTCAAACACCCCCCTCAAATAACTACTCCCCACATTCAACCTCCCATACCCAACCGGATCCTTCCCTTTCCTCCCTCCACCCCCACCATCCCCAAACATCGCCCCTCCACTCCCTGCACCAGTCGCAGAAGACACTAACCGTCCCAGCACCCATCCGCTCACACGCGCGATCTTCGGCTCGCTGTTTAGTGTTATGGTGCGGAGGGTGTCGATTGCTCTTCTTAGGAGCGTGGGGTGTGAGGAAGGTGAGGAGGTGGTGGAGATTGTGATGCCGAGGAGGGGTGGGAGGGCGAGGAGGGCGGCGATGCGGCTTGTGGAGGGTGTTGAGGTGGAGGTTATGGTTGTTAGGAGATCGGTTAGTTGGGTTGATAGTTCGCTTTCTTGGAGTCGGGTATGGAGGATTTGTGTGTAGGCCGAAAGTGCGTGCGGGTGAATGGGTTCATGTCCGCGCTGGGGAGTTGACACAATCATATCGTAAGTGTGAACGATACATCCGCCCATACACGCATACAACCATCCAAACGAAACAAGAACCCACAAAAAAACATACCTTAGAAGAAACAACCCCCAAAACCCCCGCAACACCCTTCTCAACCCTCTCCACATCAACCCCACCCCATCCACACCCAACAACCCCCGCCAACCCCCAAACAGCCATCTGCACCGCAATTCCCTCTCCAACATCTCCACCTCCTCCCTCCCGCTCAACAAACCCCTCAACAACATCCACCCACCCCTTCACCCTCGCCATAACAAAACTCGTCACTTCAACACCCCCATCCTTGAACGACTCCAACACGCTCGCTAACCCCATCGCCGCTCCAAGCGCAACGTTAGGCGACGTCGCAACAGTCGGGTCTAGACAGTCGGACGCCAACCGCGCTATGGTTGTGGGTATTGTGGACGTTGCAGCAGAGGAAGGGAGGGAGGAAAGTACGATGGATATACCGTATGAGGCCGCAAAGTGGGACCAGTCTAAACCTCCGCTGGGTTTTCGACTGACACCTTTCCAACAGAAGGATAGAATTTTTTCACCCCGGATTTCGTCCCCGGGTTGTAAACACCGACTTAGGGCACTGATGCCGAGATAAACTGCGAATAAGACGTCGTCGCTTTCTTCTTCTCCTGCATTACCTTCATACTTCTCTAAAAGCATATCAACCACGCTCGTCGCGTGGTCTGCCGCTGAGGGAAGGGACGTTGACGTGCATGCCAGTATAAGACCGGCGGAGCAGAGGAGAAGATTAGATGTCAATGCTGGTACACGGGACGTTGCGAGACGCGTTTGAAGAAGGTCGATCAAGACGTTCGTCACAACATCTTCCACAAACGAGATCTTCATCCTCGTTTCCTCCGGTCCCTCAATCGTTGTTGTATCAGAGGTAGATGTACGTAACGACTCATACAGGGATGTCAGAGAAGTTTCCCAAAACGCCTGCCAAGGGCGTATGGAATCTACACGGAGGACAGGTTGGTCTACGGGTGTCAAATCTCTAAGTGCCATTGTCAGCGGGCGGTAGAAGGAGAGGGAAGGGAGGGGTGGGGTGTTTTGAATGGGCAGTGTGATTTGAGTTGGTTGCGATGGGTAAGAGGACAGAACAGTCGCCGCATATCCACCTCTAACCCCCGCAACCCCCTTCCCACCCTCCCAAATCCCCTTAACATCCTCCACAACATCCCTGACAACCTTCTTA